TCTCATAATCCTGCTCACACTTCACTCTGCCTCAGTTCACACAAGTCTTCCCAGGTTTATGAGCTAGTATTCTAATTCCGTTAATGATTACTGCCTCCTTTTGTAAGTGTTTATAAACCACAGGTGAAAGAGCTATTCTAATATTTCACTGGAGATCAACATCAATAGTTTCCAGATGTCTTATCTTAGATTCTAAACTCTATGTTTCTCACCTTCTCTCCCCTCCCACCCTACCCTTTTTTTTTTTTTTGAGACTCTGTCTCTCTATCTCACCCAGGCCAGAAGTGCAGAGGCCAGACTCTTGGGCCACCCAAGGCTGATCGGCATGGAAGGTCTGACTGGCCCCATTCCAGTCTGTGCCGGTTTCCCCCTCTTTGGCAGCCTGGTGGCTTACCAAGGGCTCACCATACTGGTGCTGGACATAGTACAGACATCGATCAGCTTTAGCCTTACTGCACCTCAGAACTCCTGAACAAGCTACCAGCCTCAGTCACCCCACTAGCAGGGCTCACAGCTGTGTACTACACCATACCTGGCCCTATTTTTTATTATTTTATAAAGTGAGACAATGCTTGCCTGTCTCTAGTTTTCTGACACCTCTTTTACCATGTCTGCAATGTCTCTTAGTACACTGAAATATAAGTTGTCAAACCTGGAGACTTTCCTCACAACAACCCTGGGAGTCAAATTGTACAAGCATAATATTATCCCTATTTTATCGATGAGAAAACAGATTTAGACAGCCTCGGTCACATAGTACGCATGGCTCAGTGCAAAGAGGACTGGATTGATAATTAGAGAACCTGGGTTCAAATCCTGATTCTGCCACTTACTACCTGGATAACCTTGAGCCAGTCCTTGCATCTCTTTGGCTCTCAGTTTCCTCCTCTCCCAGATGAAGGGGGTTGGACTAGATGACTCCTGTGATACCTTTTCAACTCCACACCTTTGGCAGAATCCAGGTCTTGTAATCCCTGTCCATTGCTTTTTCTACCACCCAGGAATCCTAAAAGTTTGCAGGAAAAATGAGTGTAGATTTACTTATCACTGGCACTTGGAGATTTTAAAATGTCAATTAGAGTAAATGTTCGTTGTTGTGTTGTTTAAGCTCTCACATCATGCTGTCTTCAATTCTTTCAGGAAGATTAATATGAAAAGATGTGAAGTAGGAGACAGCTCCATGAATTTCCCAGACTTTTAGCCTGCCTCCCTCAACACCTTTGATTCTTTTGTTACTGAGCTTTGTTTTTGATTAAGGAAATAAAAAATGATTCTTATTCTCTGATTTATCAAAGGAAACAGGACTTTCTCAGCTGCTTTAACCCTTTCTCCAAAGAACTGTCTCTCTCCCACCCCACCTCCATCAACTCTATGGCGCTTTACCTATCATTAACACTATTAAGTCAGAAAACAGTTCCCCCAACTAACAGAGAAACTAGGGTAATTTTCTGTCATCTCATAAATCTTTTGGAATATTTTTTTTAAACAGAGGTCATTTGGTTGTGATGCTGTATGATAATATGTAAGGAAAACCAGATTTGAAGTCAGAGGCCCTGCTTTTGAATTTTGTCTCTTGTATCTACTATGTGCATGGCCTTGTATAAATCCCTTAATTTCTTTGCATCTTAGTTTTCTTATTTGAAAAAAAAAGTTAGACTATATTATTTTAAAATCTCTTTTAGCTCAAAAATCCTGTAATTCTGTAATGTGAAAACACTTTCCAAAAAAAAAAAGATCTAGTGAAGGGACTGTCTGAAGAACTGTTTGCTAAACTGTGCCAAGACTAGTATTTCCTGGCAATTAAACTTAATATAAAGTACAGGGAATTAACCTACCTGTTAATTAGGATTATAGGAATTAAGGTGATTAAATTCATTTAAAGGAAGCAAAAGGAATTTGTCATGCCTTAGATTGAAAAGGGTCACACTACCCAGAAATAAATAGATTTCAAAGAATCAATTATAAAATAGATATTGAGAACCTCTTATCATACAGCACTTGTGCCAGGTAATATGGAAAACACAAATAAGTGCAAATTGCTGTCCCTGCCCTCAAACAGGTTTCAGTCCAGTAGGGAAAACAAAGATACATACTTGTGGATGGCTAACAAGGCACTGCAAGCTTACCTCACCTAACAACTGTAAATTGATTCGGTAAAAACACAATATTAGGCTAAACAATATAATGGAAAGTATTTAGATCACTGGAACTAAGTTATAAGCATGGAAGACCTTAAAAAGTTAAAATTAGGTCTTTACAGAGAACTAAGCCTTTATACTTTAATGGTTTTCTGGTCCCAGGGAGGAGCCCAGGCTTTCTCACCTTACAGGCAAAGTGAAGAGGGAGCCACACCACACACATGGTTACTAGGCCTATCTAATGTGCTGTGTAGGCATTCAACATGGCCCCCAGGAAGAAAAACCATGACTAGCAGAGCCTGCCCGCTTTCTCTTCTCCAATTAGAAAAGCACCAAGGATGCCTCCCAAGTCTACCCAGCAACCATTTTTTGATTAGACTGAAAATTAAGTCAATGAGAGACTCACTATCCTTTGTCCACCAGTCAGAGGGTTTTCTTGATGTGCATTAACAGCAAAATTTTGCAATGTTATGGTGGAGCTTATTTTAGCAATGTTGTGATGAAACAACATTGGTTGGGATAGATTTATGCAGACTATGCCTTCTAAATTAACACTTCTTAACTTGGGTCCAAGAACTTTTAAGAATATTTTTATTATTGATAGTAATTTTTTGTGGTAGCAAGGAATTGGAAATTGAGGGGATGCCCATCAATCGGGGAATGACTGAACAAGCTGTAGTATATGATTGTGATGGAATACTATTGTGCTGTAAGAAATGATGGTTTCAGAAAAACCTGGACTTACATGAATTGATACAAAGTGAGCAAAACCAGAACATCGTACACAACAACAGCAATGCTGTATGATGATCAACTGTGAATGACTTAGCAATTGTGATCAATATAGTAATCCAAGACTAATCCAAAGGACTTACGATGAAAAATGCTATCCACCTCCAGAGAGAGAATTGATGGGAGTCTGAATGTAGATTGAAGTATAATTTTTTCACTTTATTTTATTTGCCTTTTTTTTTGCAATATGGTTAATATGGAAATGTTTTGCATGATTTCACATGTAAAATTGACATCAAATTTCTTGCTTTCTCAATGGGTGGGAGAGGGGTAGGAGGGAGAGAATTTGTAACTCATATTTTAAAAAAATGAATGTTAAAAATTTTTTTAATATTACTATGTCAATACAATTGGTTACCTTTGCAACAATGTATTTTATGTTATGCATTTAAACATAATATTCTAAGAGGAGGTCCATGATACAAAAAAGAAGAGGTTAAGAAACCTTAACTCTAAATGGGAGGTACTTTGCACATGATAACCTATATCAAACAGTTTACTGTCTCAGGGAAGGGAAGGAAAGGGAAGAAGGGAGGAAATTTAGAACTCTTAGTTTTATATAAATAGGAGGTGCTTTAGGAATTCAGAGTAAGGAAAGCCTAGAATGGTCAGGAAAGTCTTCACAGAGAAATGACTTTAATTTTGGCACAGAAGAACACAGAATTTGAGAAATGGGAAGGTGTGGTGGAAATGCCACCACATTGCTGGGCATTAGGAATAAAATAAAATAAAGATACAAATTGTGTTTGGGAAACAGCATAGGTCAATTTGTCTGGAACATGGGATTCCTACAACTGAATAGTAGGAGATAAAATTGGAAAGGTAACTTGGACCCACATTGCAGATAACCCTCAAAACCAGACTGAATTTTCAGTTTGTCCTGTAAGACTTTTGACTATGGAAGCAGCACGATTAAAGTTATTTTTAGGAAGATTATCTACTTATTTATATAAGTACCTACATAAGTGGTTAAATAATCTAGCAGTATTGTGTATAATGGATTGGAGGGGGGAAAGCCCAGAGGCAAGACAATTTGAGGAGATTGTCAAAAGTAATCTCATACCTAAACAGGAGCCCAGTCGAGAATGGTTTCAGCTTTAATGGAATGATAATATAAGGCCACTCACTACAGCAACTGGAATTTTAAAATGAGAATTGACCAGTTTCTCCTAGTCGCTTCAGTTTCTTTATCTGATAACAAATGCCTATCCAGATCAGTTATTATTTGGTAACTGTATCAGTCCAGGGAGGGAAAATGGAGAGCCACGTACAGGAGACTCAGAGGTCTGCAAGATATCTTTTGTTTATGGCCAGCTGGAATGGGATGTTGTGTACCACCAAGCAGCTGCAAAGATACATTTATAGCTTTTATCTTTTTTATATGTCCTCTCTCTGATGTGTTAGATATGCTTCCTCCTTTCCTTTCCAGGATAGTGATTGATAGGGGAATAAAGTATTATCTGCTCTCTCTCCAGTAACTGTTAATGCAGATGAGTATAAAAGATAAAAATGTTTCCTAATTTATCCAAGGTTAGCTAACAAGGATTTATGACAAGAGTCAAATTGGCTAACTTATAAAATGTCTCTGAAAGAAAAAAATTTCAACATCTATAAGGTACAGATTATCAGTCTACTACATAGGCAAAGGGAGAAAGTTGGTTTTATTTGATGAAAGGACTGCTTGAGGTGGTCTGGTGTTTGGCCCTGAACAATGGTTTAAGGTAAAGTTAAGGCACACACACACACACACACACACACACACAACTTCAAGTTTCTAAGCAGTTTCTGATATGGTTTCAAAAGAAAATTGTGTAATTTCCAAGGGGAAGTCCAAGAATGTTGCAAGTTATGAGAAAACATTGCTAGATTGGATCCTAAAAATTTCTAAAATTGGTTATTTGTGATGGTTTTTAATAAATTTTTGTTTAGGTGGCAATGGTAAGATCAAATGCTCTAACAGGTGTATTATAGTTTTCACAGAACTGAAATAAATTTTAGCTCATGACTTGGTACCTTGTTTCAAGTGAATTGAATCTTCAGAAGCATCAACCCTTTTTTGCTTTTGTTCAGTAGGGAAATCAGATAATCACTGAAGAGTTGAAACGTTCCTCAGCAGTCATAGTCTTCCCCTACTTGACTAAGAATCCCCTCTATATATTTGACAAGAGGTCATCTAGCCTTTGTTTGAAGACTTCCACTGAGAGAAAACTTCATTATCTCCTGAGACAACTCATTCCACTTTTGGACTGTTCTAATTATTGTGAAGTTTTTCCTTCCTAAATTTGCTTCTCTGCAACTTCCAAGCAAGAATTCTTCCAACAAGAATTTATTGAGTGTCTCCTATGTGCCAAACACTGTGCACTGGGGATATAAAGAAAAACAAAAACCATTCTTATCCAGCATGAGCTAGAAGCCATTTACCACCCTAATCGGCCCCCTCTAGACAGGGCCATTTGTGTCCTTCCTATGTCCACTGGAGAATAAATGAAAGTATTGTCAACTTGTATTTTACTCTTTTTTACCTTAGAAACATCTTGTTTTAAACAAACTGTTTAGCTGCACAAGACTTGCTTTAGAGAAGTATGGAAGAAGGAAAATGTAGATAAACACGAAAGCAAACAGCCCTTCAATGCCTTATTTTATTAAACTCAAGGAATTAGTTAGCCTTGAAAGACAACAGTCTAAATGTGGACAGGAGAGACTCTCAGCAATCATATTGAATTCAAATACTAGGGATTTTTTTTTCCTAGTTCTACCTTTATTCTTTTTGTTTGTTGACTTTTAATCCGTAGGAACTTTTTATCAGTAGTTATTCCTCTTATCAGATAAGAGTATCCTTTAAGTATACTTCTATAATTTGTGCTTTCTTCTCATATCAGAATGTAAGCTCTCTGAGGGCAAAGACTTTTGCTTTTGTATTTGTGCTCCATTGTTCAGCAAAGTGCTTGACAGATAATAAGCATTTCTGGGCTTTTGCTTAATCCATTCATTATATCCCAGACAGGTTAAACATGCATATGATTAGTCAACCTGTTTTGTTTTTAGAATCACAATTAGTAGGGTTTTATGACCCTTCTAGTCTAACCTATACCAGAATAATTGCCTGTAATAGCTAGCATTTATATAGCACCTACGACCACTGTGCTAAGTGCTTTACAATTAGTTATTTCAGTTGTTCACAACCCTAGAAGGGAGGTACTATTATTATCCTCTTTTCACAGATGAGGAAATGGAGGCAGAGGTCAAGTGACTTCTTCAAGGTCACAATGCTAGTGTATGAGGCTGCATTTGAACTCGGGTCTTCTTAACCTGGAAGCCCAGCCTGGGTACCAGCTAGCTACAACCCACCCTCCAAGTAATCATACAGCTTTTGCTTAAAGAGGAATTGGTAAGAAAAATCTTCAGAGGCAGTTCATTCCTCTTTTGCTTAGTTCCAATCATTATCATAAACCTAAATTTTCCTCTCAACCTCCACCCATTTTAATTTTGCAATTACTTATTTTCACTTCTCACCAGGACCAGCTATTGCAATAAACGAATCCCTACCCTTTACCCTCCCATTCAGCAGCACATGGAGCAGATTTTTGATCATTTCACTTCCCCTATTCAAAGAACCTTTACATTATTAATCTTGCATGTAGGATTAAATCATTACTCTTGCATTCAAAGCCACACCCAATTTGGCTCTAAACTTTCTATTTCACTCTTACTGTACATGTACTTTATACTGGAGGCAAACTGTATTACTTACTGTTCCCCGAAAACCTTGTGTTTCCCGTTTCCATCTAAACTCATGCCATTATTTCTCTAAAATGCTATTCTGGCCTGCTATGTCTCCATGAGAATACGAGGCACAGATTCCTTGATGGTTAGGTTAAATGCCATCTCTCTTCTAGACTTCCCCAATCACTCCAATCAAAAGCACTTGCTTCCTTCTAATGCCACTGTGTACAGGTTAAAATCATGCCATATGTACATCATTATTATTTGTGCTGTCTTCTATCTCAGGGGCTCTCTTCTACATCTTTGTATTTCCCACAATACCTAGCACAGTGCTTTACTTAGAATAGACACACAAGAATTTATTGAACCAATGATGAGTATTTAATCCACTTATAATACAGCTAGTGTAATGGAATGTATTAAATATTGTTGGAGGAGGGGGAGAATCATAAAATCACATGGATTTTCTGTGTGTGAAGGATTGATCCAATAAACAAAAATTCAGAGAATTAGACATAGTTCTAGATGGGGCTCTGAAATAATCTGGTCCAACCCTTTCATTTTGAAGATGAGCAAACACAAGAGGTTAAACAATTTCCTCAATACACTGAGAAGCCTATAAAATTATCTAAGCTCCAATAAAACTGAGCTCCATTCCTATCACAAACAAGATACCCAAATTCTTTAGCTGTTTCGTTAATAGATTACCATCAATAATTATACCACTATAGTGAAATCTTGGATGAGAAGCAGCTACATTACAGGAGAAAAAAGTACTAGATATGGGCTCAGGAGCCCTGGGTTCCATCCCTGGCTCTGTCACTGTCTAGTGATTTCAGCCCCTTAATCTAAACAAAAATAGAATGGGCTGCTTTAGGAGGCAGAGTTCCCCTTCTCTCACGGGAAGGGGAGCTTGACCACTTGTGGATAAAGTCATATGGGAAAAAATCCTACACAGGTAGACGAGGTGACCAATGAGGTCGGAAAAGGTACCTGAAATTCTGTGGTCACACAGGTAACGGACTTGGGACTAGAACTATGGTACTCTCACTTCATATTCAAATGTTTTCTCCCCCAGTACCATGTTGCCTCACCTGAAGACAAGTGGTGTGGCATTTGAACTCAGGATCTTCTTCTCGGACAGGTTAAACCTATTTCTGGAGGTTAGTGACTGTGTTTTTTTTTTATAGGACATGCACATTTTAGATACTCGTTTTAATGTTCTGTCATTCTCCAAGTGCTGGAAAAATTGTATCAAGAATGAATCAAAAATGTATTTGGTACTTGAGATTTAATTAAGGACCTATGTTCATTTTGTTTCCCTGATGGAATATATGTTCCTTAAGGGCAGAAAGTCCTGTTTTGTCTTTGTATCCACAGTGCCTAACACTTAAAAAAAACAAAATGAAACAATGCACACTGATATAGGAAACTCCTAATGAGGAAACCCCTTCTGCTTATACAAACCAGCAATAGCTCTGAAACTTCTGGTTTTCCAAAATGGTCTAGGGCACTAAGAGGTTAAGTAGTCCTGACCCAGGATCACAGAGCCACTTCGCATCAGAGACAGATCTACCTTATCTGAATCCAAACTTCCTAGTCACTGGCTAGGTAAGTGATGCTGCTTTTCATGAGACACACAGTAGGCACTTAATAAATGGCTTGTGGATTGATAGGTCATAAATATGGAGTTTAATTAATTTCACTTACTTCACTAAATTCACTTAACAATGGCAAGGCCATTGCTTCTCAGAAGGAAGCTGAAAGGCACAGTTGGCCTAATCTGCCATAGAAAGGAAAAAAGTGGGAAATAATTTTCATTGCCAGTGTTTCTGATAAAGGCCTCATTTTTTAAATACAGAACTGATTTAAATTTGTAAGAATATAAGTCATTCCTCAATTGATAAATAGTCAAAGGGTAAGAATAAGCAGTTTTTAGGTGAAGAAATTAAAGCTATATAGTCATATGAAAAAATGCTCTAAATCACTATTGATTAGAAAAATGCAAATTAAAACAACTCTGAGGTACCACCTCACACTTATCAGATTGGCTGATATGACAGAAAAGGAAAAGGATGGGTATTAGAAAAGATGTGGGAAAATTGGAACACTAAATGTATCATTGGTGGAATTGTGAACTGATCCAACCATTCTGGAGGACAATCTGGAACTATGCCCAAAGAGCTATAAAACTGTTCATACCCTTTGATCCAGCAATATCACTAGGTCTGTATCCCAAAGAGATCATAAAAAAGGGAAAAGAACCCACATGTACAAAAATATTTATAGCAGCTCTTTTTGTAGTGGCAAAGAATTGGAAATTGAGGAGATGCCCATCAATAAGGAAATGGCTGAACAAGTTGTAGCATATGAATGTAATGGAAAACTACTGTGCTATAAGAAATGATGAGCAGGTGGACTTCAGAACCTGGAAAGACTTGTATGGTCTGATGCTGAGTGAAGTGAGTAGAACCAGGAGAACGTTGTACACAGTAACAGTAACACTGTGTGATGATCAAATCTGATAGACCGGTCTTCTCAGCAATATGATGACCTAAGACAATTCCAAGAGTCATGGAAAATATTATCTACATCCAGAGAAAGGACTATGGAGTCTGAATGCAGATTGAAGCATACTATTTTCACCTTTTGTTTTGTTTTTTATTTTTCGTGGTTTTCTACTTTTATACTGATTCTTCTTTCACAACATAACTAATATGTTTAATATGATTGTACATGTATAACCTATATCAGATTGCTTTTTGTCTTGGGGAGGGGAGGAAGGTAGGGAGAAAAAAGTTTGGGACTCAAAATCCTATAAAAGTGAATGTTGAAAACTTTCTTTAAATGTAATTGGAAAAAAATAAAATACTATTTAAAAAAAGGGAAAAAGTCTTGAAATTTTTATTAGAAAGGAAAAAACTCCAGTAGTACTACTTCCTATTTAAAACACCTCCAAACTACAAATTAAGCTATAAATTTCAAATAAACATTTCTTTGGCGTTCCAGATTAACTACAGAAACAGTAAACAAAGTGTATTTTATTTGAAAAGAACAAAAAAATGTTGATATGTTTTTCTGAACCTATACAATTGTGTTTTTGAAACAAAGATAGTTAATCACTACTTTTCAAGCACTTTTCTTTGAAGAATGCACTCAGCTTTGGCCTCATTTCGGTATGTTCTCCTAACTGTAAATAAAACACTTATTTTGTTCTTTCCTTTCATATTTTAAGTAGTATTATGTAAGCCTAAATATACACAGTAACTAAAGTTTGCCATCCTACACAATAGGCAGGAGCTGCCCTTTTTCAAAAATGTAAACAACTATACTTTTGGCTATTTTCTATTAAATAGGGTTGAGGGGTAGAGGGAGAGAAAAGAGAAAGCCAATATCACAAAGAAATCAGTCATTTATGCAAATTAAGGCATTTAAACTGCAATATCACCTGAAGCACATAGAAAGAACTTTACATTTAGTTCTGACAATACCACATTTCAAAATGTTGTAAAGACTAATGTTTTATTATATCTGGTGGTTTATAGAAAACATCAAACTGGAGACAATAAGAAATGTATCTATCTGCAAAAATGTAAACATCTTAGTCACATTTTGCATTATTTGGTCTCGAAAAATACTGCTTTATAAGTTCAACATTACTGCAAGTTAAGTATAACTGAACAGTGTAATGATATTTTACTCTGACTTAGGTTGTAACTTATTTTTTTCTGGCTGAAAGAAGTATTCTTCAATGGCACTGACAAGATCATTTAGTTCTTTCTTTAGTTGTTCATGGTCACTGGAGGAAAAAAAAAGATTCCAAATTAACAGGTTACTATGAAACTACTAAAGCATACTTCTAAAAACCAAACAAGAAAAACAGCATTTTTTTCAAATTAAAGGGAAAACTGACATAGAGTAGTACCTGTTTTGTGCTATTTCTATGGGAAAAAGATCTCATGAACTTGATATAAAATTAAAATTTTAACACTTGTTTATTTTCTCAAAAGTTCTCTCTGTAAATTCATACATATAGTTAATTCCCTTTTCTTGTTGCATTCACATCAAAATATTTAAGAAACCCAACAATTTTGGCCTTCTGCTCCTAAATAACCAACAGCGTTGCCTAAGGTTCACTGGTATGTTGGTAACAGAAAGATGAGAGTCTATGATTACATTTACAGTCAAAGATTCTTAAATTTGTGCATTTCCAAAATGGTCAGTCACATTAGTTCCAGAGCATGAAACAATAAACATCTTTTCTTAGGATGCTAATGATAAAGTATGTTCTTTTTATATTAGAAACATAAAATCTTAATTCAATCCAACAATTATTCAGAGATTATTGTATACGGAATGCTGGCCTCAGAATAAAGACTTGCCTCTTATCCTTGCCGGCCTCAGAGTAAAGATCTGCCTCTTATCCAGTCCTGACTCTTAACATCTAATAACTGGGATAATGGGCAATTAACTCACAGGAAATGGCAGGTTTCTGATATTCTGTGTCAGTGGAGGAAGTCCCTTCCACCAATGAAATTATAAGTCTGGGCAGACCAAAAAGCAAAACATACACACACACACACACACACACACACACACACACACCTACACACACACACACACAGACACATATATGTATATACACGCATATATGTACATATGCACATGTACATATACATACATGTATGTGTATATGTACATGTATATGAACGTGTAGATGTGTATATATGTGCATATATATATATATGTGTATGTATATATGTGTGTGTACATATATAGAGAGTCTTCTTTAACTGTAAAAATGATATAGTATAGTGTAAAACAGCAATCCAAATTTATCATCATTAAATTAAATGATTAACTATGAAACCATTTTTCTTAAAGTTTAGAAGAACCAATCAAGAAGTTTAGTGGATAAAGTCATTCTCTCTGCCCTGAAGTACCTGTTTCCAGGCGGCACACAGAGTTCAGCATAATACTTGATTTTGGGCTCTGTTCCACTGGTCCTCATTGTTGCCACTCCTCCATTTACAAAAGTAAAAGTAATCATTTGGCTGCTTTTACTTGTAGGAAGAATCTATGAATGAAGTCAGAGGTACAATATTTAATGTTCTTGTTATGTGTAAGTTATAAATCTTTATAGAGTATTCTGACATGACTAATCTGTTTCCTTTGAGGGAAAAAAATGAACACAAAAATAATCCTGAGAGGCCAATATTTATAGTAAAAAAAAATACCATATACACAATAGAAATATTACATAATTCAAAGTTAATTTAAAACAGTAAAGTGATGTTATGAAATGAAAGAGAATAGTGAGTGACTCCAAAATTCCCTTGCTTACCAGCTAATTTTCCCTCAAATTTTTTTTCTTGAAGTTAGATTAAATTTATTGCTAGTAGTAACATCTCATGAATTAATTCTTATTTCACTGGTACACTATTTCTTTTGTTCATATGAATATTAAAATAATAAAAAGGTAAAAAAGAAATGTTATTATTAGATAAAAAATAAGTTTTCATATTAATTTATCAATGCTTCTTTTCTGTTCACATACCCTGCAATATTTTCAGTTCTTTGCACGACTTACTTTGATTTCAAGGAAAAGCACACAGAGTACCAGAGAATATCAGGGTTAGAAGGGAACTTAGTTCAACTACCTAATTTTACAGATAAGGAAGCTGGCCCAACAGGGAACAGAGACTTGTCAGGGGTCACAAAACTAGTTAATTACAGAGTAAGACAAAAACCTAGGTCTCTCTACTTCCAGTCTGCTCTAAGTCATGTTGATGGTGTGAAAACTGAAAACTTAGTTTGTAGTCAGAATTTCCTATGTTAGTTCAGACAATAAAAAATATTTTAAGATATAAATAATGTGTTTTTAGAATAAAGATGCTGATCTCCCAACTCCCTATATCTTTTTATACTTTCCTTGTAACTATTCTCCATTAAAGTCATATGCCAAGATCATATTTTGGCATGGAAAAGGCCTTGGGTTCTCTCAAGGGCCATGCCAGCAGATCCTAAGGTATAAAGGCATAGTGACAGACTCCGTGGTGTTTGAGGATTAACCTAGCTAGGTTTGAAGAAGCCCATCACAAGAGGACTGCACAGAAGGAGAATTATTTTTGGCCATAGTAGCTACTAAGGCATGGAGGATCTTCAATTTACATCACTAGAAGGACTATCTCAATCCTGATGAAATCATGGATATATTGAAACCATGAAGAGAATAACAATATGCATGCCTAGAAATTACTTAATCATTTTTGTAGTTTCTGTTTCTTTATATCAAATATTCAGTACATACATGGCAGTACGGTTTAATCATATAAATCGACAAAAATACTCACAGCTTTTTTGTCAGGTTGGCTGCTATCATAGCCCGTGGTAAGATCCCTAACTCCAGAAACTTCAAATTTGCCACAAGTCTTTGGATAAGTGCTCTTTCCATCATAATTTCTAAGGTTTTCAAATAAATTTTTGATGATATTTTGGTCGTGGCAAATAAAATATGAAGCCTTGGTAATATGATAGCCATATCTATCAAAGAGAAAAACATCTTTCTACATATATAGTAACACTCAGTATAAAAAATTTGAACGATTAATAGGACATGAAATCACAGAATTTTAGGGATGAAGGAAAGCATAAAAATGATCTAGTCCAACCCTCTTAATTTGACATAAGGAAATTTTGGCACTGAGTAGGTAAATGATTTACCCAAGATCATACATAGTAGGAGGACTGGGCCTGGGACCCGGGGCTCCTGATTCTAAGTCTGGCTATTTCCCTCACCACTTCCCTCCCAACTCACTTTTTATTCTGTTCCACCTCCACACCAGCAGCCTTGTGCATTCAAGGACGATATCACCCTGAGGCTTATTCAATGACTGGTGAGTCCTTGGCCAAAAAAGTCCTATTTTAAGAGACCTATATACACTTCTCTTTACTTTTAGCACATTTTCTGGTCTGCTCTCCTCACCCACTAGCTGCCTTTCCTCTTTTAGGTTTTGTATTCCATTGTTAGAATGTAAGCTCCTTCCCAGCAATTGTCTTGTTTTCTTGTTTTTTATCTCTAGTATTTAGCCTAGTACTTGGAGCTTAATGCTCTTATCTAGTTATCAGTTACAAAACTTAATTTGACAAACATTTATGAAATATATACTATTAATATGGCACTGTGTTAGATGCTGAGAATACAGACAAAATTCTTTTACTACAACAATTTATAATTAATTTTAGAAGACAGTAGGTTCGGGTGAATACATAAACAGTCATGGTACAAGGCAGAACACGAGAAGGGCTAAAGAAAAATCTTTAAAAGTGCTCTTCAAAATTTGGAGGAGAGAACAATTTCAGCTAAGGGTAGTAATTGCAAAAGGAGATCCAGTAAGTCTTTAGAAGACAGAGTTGGCACCTTAGCTCAGCCTCAACAAAATATCAGTACAATGTATCCCACATCAATGAAATAAAAATTAATAACTTATTGTCAGCTTTATGGAATAATTTAGTTTTCAGAATATACTATTGCCAAATTCCTTCAGCAACAAGTTTAACTTTTATTGTTCTATTTGTTGTCATATCATTAAATAAATATTAGGACTCATGGCAATGACTCTAATCTCCCTAGTTTCACTTAAAAGTTATTTTTACTGAAAATTCTCACACAAAACATCAAAGGGAAAAAAATCAGCGTGATGCATCTCTTCTTCGGCTATAAATGAATACCTCATATGTGCTTAGAATGGCAGCCTCTAGGGGGGCTTGGGTTTTTTTGGATATCTTTGTAACTGTATCTGAATGAAAAGGAAAATGACATACCCTTTGACCTAGCAATACCACTACTCGGTCTATATGTTAAAAGAGATTAAAAAAAAAAAAAGAAAAGCAGCCATATTTACAAAAATATTTATAGCAGCTGTTTTCTGGGGATAAAGAATTAGAAACTGAGGAGATGCTCATCAACTGGAAAATGACTGTACAAGTTGTGGTATGTGATTATGATGGAATACTATTGTACTGTAAGAAATGATGAGCAGAATCTCTCAGAAGAACCTATAAAGACTTGCTGATGCAAAGGGAAATGTGCTGTGTACAAATAACAGCAATGTTGTAAGATCAGCTGTGAATGACTTAGCTATTCTCAGTAATGCAATGATCCAAGACAACTCTGAAGGACTTATGATGAAAAATGCTACCCATCCCTAGAGAAAGAATTAATAGAGTCTGAATACAGATCACAGCATACTGTTTTTAGCTTTATTTTTCTTATGACTATTATGAATATGTTTTGCATGACTACACACATATAACCTATCCTGAATTTCTTGCCTTCTCAGTGAGGGGTGGGGATTGGGGAGGAAGGAAGGAAGAGAATTTGGAACTCAAAGTTTTAAAAACAAGTGTTAAAAATTGTTTTTACATGTAACTGGGGAAAAATAAAATACTAAATAAATGAATACAATTTTTTAAAAAAGGAAAATGACAAATGTTGGAAGGGATGTGAAAGAATAGGTGCACTAATGCACTGCTGGTAGAACTGTGAACTAATCCAACCATTCTGGAGAAGAATTTGGAACTATGCCCAAAAGTCTATAAAACTGTACATACATACCCTTTGATCCAGCAATTACTACTATTAGGTCTGTATCCCAAAGAGATCAAAGAAAAGGGAGAAGAACCTATGTATACAAAAATATTTATAGCAGCTCTTTTTGTGGTGGCAAAGAATTAGAAATTGGGAGGATGCCCATCAATTGGGGAATGGCTGAACAAGTTGTGGTATAGGAATATAATGGAATACTACTGTGCTATAAGAAATGATGAACAGGCTGACTTCATAAAAACTTGGAAAAACTTGTATGGTCTGATGCTGAGTGAAGTGAGCAGAACCAGGAGAATGTTGTACACAGTAACAGCCACGCTGTGCAATGACTAATATTGATGAACTTAACCCTTCCCAGCAATACAATGATATAAGACCTTTCCAATGGATGGAAAATGCTATCCACATCCAAAGAAAAAACTATGGAGTTTGAATGCAGATCGAAGCATGCTATTTGTTATTTTTTTTCTTCTATTGAGTTTTGTTTCCTCTTTCTGGTGGTTCCTCCTATTGGTTCTAATTCTTACTTACAACATCACTAATGTGAAAATATGTTTGATAGGAATGTATATGTATAGCCTATATCAGATTGTGTGCCGTCTTGGGGAGAGTGGTGGGGAGGAAGAAAGAGAAAAATTTAAAACTCAAAAGCATATGGAAATGATTGTTGATGAATCAAAATAAATTAATTAAAAAATGAAAAAAATAAAATTTGGAAATGCAAAAAAAGAAAAAATTGAAGTAAAAAAATAAAAAATAAAAAGTATTTTTAAAAAAGAGAAATGATGAAGGAGATGGTTTGAGAAAAACCTGGGAAGATTTATTTATATGAACTAATACAGAGTGAAGTGAGCAGAACCAAGAGAATACTGTATACAGTAACAGCAATATTTTAACAATAATCAACTGTGAAAGATTTAGCTATTCTAATCAATACAATGATCCAAGACAATTCCAAGAGACTCATGACAAAATATGCTTTTTGCCTCCAGAGAGAACTGATGAACTCTGAGTGCAGATTGAAGCATACTTTTATCACTTACTTTATTTTTCTTGTTGTGCTTTGTTTTTGTTTTGTTTTTTGCAATATGGCTGATGTGAAAATACTACTTTTGTATAACTTCATATTACAATTTGTTATATTGTATGCTTCCTCAACAGGTAGGAAAGGGGCAGGATGGAGAGAATTTGGAACTCAAAAATTTTTTAAATTTTATGTTAAAGTAAAATTATTTTCAAAAAGGTTATAATTGGTAAATCAATGCTCTTTTCTTAGAGCTTATAGTTCTTCACATTTCTCCAAAATCTGTTTCCTTTAACACTCCAACAATAAACTCTCCTGTTGAATCTGGGAGATGGCACTATGCTACTTCATCTTCCCTCTCCTAAATGTGGTTAACCCTAGAAGATTAGTCTTAAGTCGTTTGCTCTTTCCTCTACACTCCTCTAAAAATCTCACTGACCACCATGGCTTCTAACTGTTACTTTTATTTGGATGGGTCCCAAATTTATAACATTCCCCATCCACACCCCCAGTTCTGACCTCTCTCCTGAATTCCAAGACTCCATCTCTAATGACTTTCTGGACTGCTTTACTTGGATATTCTAAGGCCAACTTAAACTTAATGCATCAAAAATCTGGCACTTACCCCACCCCTACTTGTCCCATCTCTAGATTTCCTCATGTCTCTTAATAATACAAACATAATGCTATTATTTCGCTAGTCATTCAGGCTTCAGATTGCATGTCATTTTGTTCTCCACATCCAATCAGTGCCGTAGCCCAGATTCCAATCAGTTGTGTTGTCTCACAAATTGCCTTTCACCATAGCACATTTCACACTTCCTGCAACAACCCTCATTCAAACAATCTCTGACCTGACTTACTATAATTATCAACCAATTGACAAGTATTTATTAAGCACATAATGTATGCCAAGCAGTACCTAAGTTCTGGCCATACAAAGACAAAGTTTAACAGTTCCTAACCTAAGCAGTTTACATTCTGATCAGGCACATATATACAATATATAAGAAGCAGATACAAAGTAACCTTCAAGGGCAAAGGACTAACAGCTGGAAGAATTAGGAAATACCTTATGCAAAAGGTAGTACTTGAGCTGAGTTTTTAAGAAGACCCAGGATTCATAGTGGTATGATGGGAATGCACTGAAAGGATGGAGAATACACTGTGCGAAGGCACACAGAGAAAAGATGGAATGTCTTTTATGTGTAATGGCAAGAAGTCCAGTTTGGTCACACCATCGAACACAAGGAGGGGAGTATTATCAAGTCAAGTCAATTAGCAAAAATTAAGCCCCTTATATGTGCTTGGCACTACAGTGCTAGGCATAAAAAGAGAGGCAAAAAAAAAAAGAACCTGTTCTAACACATAGATAGAGCATTGGATCTATAGTCTGGAAAACCCAAGTTAAAATCCAGCCTCAGACACTTACCAGATGTGTGATTTAGGCAAACTGTCTCAGTTTCCTCGCCTATAAAATGAGGATAATAACAACACCTATCTTTCAGTGCTCTTGTGAGGATCAAATCAAATAATAATTATAAAGTGATTATCACAGTACCTGGCACATAGTAACCACTATATAATGTTAGCTATCATTATTATTATTTATTATTATTATTTAGGGGAGAGACACCATGCAAGCAACTTTCACAAATAAGATATACAAAGGATAAAGAGAAAAGGCACTAAAATTAAGGAAGACAGGGAAAGGCTTCTTGCCTAAGGTGGGACTGTAGCTGAAGGAAGCCTGGGATGTCAGGCTGCAGAGATGAGGAACAGGAGTTCCAGGCATGGGAGAAAGTGAGTGAAAATGTCTAGAGTCAGGAGATGGAGCGGCATGGAAGCTGGTGTCACTGGATCACAGAGTACATGGAGGGGAGAAGGCGGAAGAATAGAAAGGTACCAAGGGGCCCAAGTTAAGGGCTTTGAACACCAGAAGATTTTATATTTGATCCTGGAAGTAAAAAGGAGCCACTGGAGTTTACTGAACTGGGAGTATATATGTGGCATGGTCAGACCTGTTTGTTAGGAAGTAGTAGTGTGACAAGTGTAACAGCAGTGTAATAGGAGTATATTTGGGGTCATGTGAGGGAAAAGAGAATTAGTTTTGTTTTTGGTGTGTTGAGTTTTCAGATGCCTACAGGAATTCCAGTTTGAAATGTCCAACAGAAGCTGGTGATGTAGGCTTGGAACTTCAGAGAGACTGGGGCTGAATCCAAGCCCGGGAAGTCATATGTATAGAGAATATAACTAAACCCAAGGGAATTAGTGAAGCTACCAAGCGAGTGAGTATAGAGCAAAAGAAAACGAGAAGGCTCAGAACTAGCCTCCTTCTAGTCCATCCTACGCACTGTTTGCCACATAATCCTGGGAGTGCTTTTGCTCAAGTTAACTCCTCCCCATTCAAAAGTCCTTCCCAGGTCCCTAATACCTCTGCCTACAAAATAGTGTCCAAGCTCTTTGGCTCCCCTCTTCTTAAGCCCTAGAATGCCCTTAATAAGTACCACCTTTTCTTTAGGCCTCCTGTTATTCTGTGCTGAATGCTAGCTTTTTTCCAGCATTCGATCTCCACTGAATTCCCACTGTTGCACATTCACATTTGACCTGTTTTATAATTATTTGTGTACCTCTTCCCTTACTGGGCTATAAGCTTTACAAAGGCAGAGTCTATGTCTTTCACTTCATTGTATGCCCTGTAGCACATAGTACATTGACTTGCATACATGCATTCAAGAACTATTTATTTGCTACATGGGCACCATAACATCCTATTATGTTGTTATAATTACAGAAAGAGTCGACAGGAACTTACTCAACATAGATGGCTTTCAGTTGCTGTGCCAAAGACAAATTCTTAGTTGCTAGAAAACATGCCAATTCTGCACTTATAACAGCAGCGCTGACGCCATCTTTGTCCAAAACAAAAGGACAGCACATATATCCTACAGAAAACATACATGTCAACATGTCAGAATGGATTCCCTTACAATTTACACAATTGTGTACTATCTGCATAAAAGTAGTAGAAAAATCCGAACACTGACGATGCTCACTTTATTATTCACTCACTACCGTTTTTTATTCCCCATCTCTATTAACTTTGTTTCTTATTCAACCCAGAACATCTTGATCCACTTTTGCGACATCTTATCCGTACTTTAATATCCATCTCAACTGTGAGCTCCCCTCACTCCAGTCTGCTACGGTATGACGTCTTTGCTATAGCACCTACTATAGTTTTTATCTGCTTGGGCTTTAATAATATACCGCTGTGTACTATCACTTAGTTGTTTCTTTTGTGTGTGTGTGTGTGTGTGTGTGTGTGTGTGTGTGTGTGTGTGTGTGTGTGTGTCTTCCTTGACTCCCCAACAAAACTGTAAGCTCCTAGCGAGTGGGAAGTGTCTTTTTTTTGGGGGGGGGTTGTTGTGCCATCATTTCAGTCGTGTCTAACTCTTTGTGATCTCATCTGGGGTTTTCTTGGCAAAGATACTGGAGTAGTTTGCCATTTCCTCCTCTAATTCATTTTACAGATGAAGAAACTGAGAGAAACAGTGTTAAGTGACATGCCCAGGGTCACACAGCTAATAAGTGTCTAAAGCAAGATTTGAATTCAGATTCTCCTGACTCCAGGTCTGGCACTCTACCCACTGTGCCACCTTAGCTGGAGCAATGTCTTTCATTTTTATTTATAGTTACTTAATATCTAACAGTGAAGTATAAAGGGAGTTTAATAAAATACTTGTGGAATTAAAGTTTCTGAAGATAAAATTTAAAGCTTTAAAATTTTGTAAAAAAGTTCTTCAAATTTGTTAACAAAATATTAGAACTTCAGGTATCCTATGTTAAGAATAGCTTATAATGACTACCAAAAGGCTGAAATGTTCCTAGCACAAGAACACAAAATATAATCTTTGGTAATTATTCCTTCACTGTATTAATTTACGTTGCTATGGCAGTTTTAATCAAAATTTTTTTTTATCTGATAAGCTCATGAAGCCTTCCCTGATATGCCTTATCAGGGAATTCCTTATCATTGCCTATATTGTTAAGGTTGGAGTGACCAATACAATATTTTGGGAAGGAGTAGGTCAAGTTTAGGTATGAATCAGCAGGGACTGAACAGAGAGCATTACTCTCCCAGAAGTATGTGGATGAGTTTCTACAAATCTGCTCTTCTTAAAAACTACCTGAAAGCCTTTTGGCACCATACATACAGAACCTCTTAGATGCTGTCAGTTCTTTGAAAAGAGGAACAAACAAGAAACTTAAGGATGATTCCTATTTTAGCCAATTTCATTTCTCACATGATAGTTCAGGGCTTTTAACTGGGGAAAAAAAATTCTAGATAGTATTTTTGTCCACTATAGAACCACTTCCAAAAAAAAGTATGTTGAATGCTCCCATCACATCTGATATGAATAAGGAATTTTATTTCTTCCAAGGTTCAGAATACCTTATTTTTAATCAATTGAAGTTTTATGATAGATTAGATCATGCTTCTTGTTATTATTCTTACCTATAGCTTCTTCAAATGCAAACAGAACATTTTTCCCCTGGTCTATTAGTTGTTTGGCTCGATTTCCCATCCACTTAAAGCCAGTTAATGTTTCCTAGTGTGACAACAAGTAAAAGAAAAATATCTTAAAACCTTCTAAAGAGCAATGAAAATAAAGAGTACAGACTTGTATAAACATATTACCTCAAAATGAAAACCTTCCTTTAAGGCAATGGCCCTCAGGATCTTTGAAGAAACTGTGCTGGATAACATATACAGGTCTTTAAGAGCATTTCGATCTTGATTCTTTTCCTTCCAACTGGTAAAGCGCCACCAACCTAAAAGAGCCCCCAACTCATTTCCAGAAAACACTTTCCATTCACCACTGGGGGGAAAAAATGACATATCCATCACTAGAGCAATCTTGAAAAAAGTGGAAATAATGAGGAAAAAACCCCTGAGAGGTATTGTGGCACAGTAGACAGAAAGTTGGCCTACCACTCAGTAAAAAACAAAATTAACACATATAGGACTAAAAAGATTGAAAAACAGATTCAACATCTATTATTCTTTTAAAAATAAATAATATCAACTTGTCAAAAATTTGGCTGTCTTAAAAAACCTTATAAACACTTCTCCATTAAAAAAAAGAGCAAACAAGTGAGAACATTTTTATTTTAACTTTTTTGCACATGTTCTGGTCTTAAAGTAGATTAGTACTTCATGGAAATAGTAATATTCTCCAAGTATAAACTTAATCTGATTTCAGGGCTTGCTCTATATTACTGATTGTGAATAAGTGATCAACTGGAATGTCTCTAAGGCCCAGGACCAAAACTAAAAGTGAGTTGATCACCCAAGGGCAAAGAATTCTATATTCTGGGGCAGCTAGGTGGCACAGTGGACACAGCTCTGGCCTTGGACTCAGGAGAAGTTGAGTTCAAATCCGGCCCCAGACGTTTGACGTTTGCTAGCTGTGTGACTCCGGGCAAGTAACCCCAATTGCCTCACCAAAAGGCAAAAAAATAAAAAGAATTCTATATCCTCCTCTGTTTGTAATCAGCATGATTAGAACAAATCCTTAATCTCAAAGTTGGGACTGATAAATTAATTTCATTTTCTGACTGATAGTACTTTTTATACTAGCACAAACTATTCAAATAGGATGATTTTACATCATACCTGTACTGGTAACCTAAGGATATACCATAAATTATGTACTTGGAATTACTGTCACTTCACTCTCATCAGAATCAAAGGACATCAAGGTCATAAAGATACTATGTAAGTGAAAATGTTTTATAAAGTCTCAAACAAAAGTACATGATAATGAATATTAAATTTGAAACATTTAATTTAAAATCCTCATAGTTCAGTATTTTGCTATGTGCTAGAGAAATAGAAGTACTTTAAAATTATTTCTATCCTATTTGTAAGGTAATAGAAAATTTATTAAAATAATAATCTACCAAATACACAGGATGAATCCTATATTCATTTTTTAGTTTCACCAATAACAGTTCCCAAAAGACAATGTCATGAAATTGTATATAAAAAATATATTTTTTAAAGAGCTGTTGAACCTACTTTTCTTGCCTTTCTGCTACTGCAAGTCGATCAGCATCTGGATCATTTGCTAAAATAATTTTAGCCTGTGTTTTCTCAGCCAAAGCAAATGATAATGTCTGCAAAAGAGTTAGAAGAAAACAATTACTTTAATCAAGAAAAAATTAATAGTCTTTGAAAAATTTAATTCTCTTAAAAAATGAAAAAAAATCCCAAATCTAATGAGATTTCTAGAGATTACTGTAGGCTAAATATTGTATGATGTTCTGTAATGAACAGAGGTCATCAACCATAGCAGAACTAGTCACAACTAAAGTCAGTCTGTATAATTCACATTTAGAGCTATCTTAGCAATAGATGTGTGGTAGGACTAGTAGTTCTACACTATCTAGATGAGATACATAGTAAACAGATTATATGAATATCTTACTTAGTCTAATTTCGAAAAAGGTTTCAAGTACCAGCCACAATATAAAGACATACTTCAAGGATCCCATAATGATGCAAACCACAGAATACATTTCATTTTTGTCCCTAGTTCTTTGTGACATGAAGACATGGGGATATGACATTAAAACAGCATAGCACTCTCAGCCAGAACTGAATGATGTACCCAATTTGGAGAATCCTTTGGGAAATCAATAACTAGCATATGTTAAAACAAAAAGCCCTTGGTGATGAAAGGAAATGTTAATTTTATTTAAAGGACAGTATGCTGACTGCTAGGGAATCTTTATTCGTTAACTGTTTTGAACACACTAAATAGTTTTCTATTTAAAAATCTTTTTTTCTGGGGGGGAGACAATCAGAGTTAAGTGGCTTGCCCAGGGTCACACAGCTAGTAAGTGTCTGAGGCCACATTTGAACTCAGGTCCTCCTGGCTCTAGGGCTGGTGCTCTATCTACTGTGCCACCCAGCTGTCCCCTAAATAGAGTTTTTTTTTTTTTAAATCAGAAAAGTTACCAAGACACCTTTACCCTCTTCAGGATTTGGATATTTCACCGTTGGAAACTCTGGGTCAGGAGCTTTCTGTTCAGGAACAGCATCAGGAGGAACAAAATCAAATGCCTTGAAAGCAGACTGTACAAAAGCATGGCCTACTCCATGAACAGAAGTATGGACAAATTTCAGTGCTGACGATTTGTTGACATCACTGAAATCAGATAAATCAAAGATGATATTTTAACTTAAATATTGATGTCATTAAAAATGAGAATGTTTGGACACTGATGAGGTGAGATTCTTTAAAAAAGCTAAGAAATAACCACAATGCATGTAATTATAAAGATGACACCAGGTTGACTAAGTTGCATATTATTTCACTTCTCTATAACAATACAAAAAACTTCACTTTTTTAAAACTAAAACTATGCATCAAAGAAAAATCCTTTTTTAAAAAAAATTAAGCATTTAATTCAGGCTAACATTTACAAAAGCTTGATTTTATAGTAAAGCTTTTAAAGATTGCAATTAATTTACTCTACTTCAAAAACATTATAAAACTGACATTTTGAAAGTTGGCAAAAATGGTACACAGAGAGCTATGAAACCAACACAACCGACCACAAACAATGAGTCCTTTCTGAAAACCACTGGATTTTTAAAGGGGGAGGAGGGAAGGAGATCCAGAGAAGCCAAGTAACTCATTTTAGGTGACTTGTCTAGCCAGGTCATCTGGCTCCAAACCCAATATACTTCCCCTATCCTACACTATTAGGCTCAGTATTGCTTTAGTGCAGAAAATACTGACAGTCAAGCTACTTCTTAATCACATAATTTTAGAGCTGACCAGTACACTTTTAGATTGCCAGAGAGCTCCCAATATGGTGAATGTAATTAAGAAGTAGAAATGAAACCCAGACTAGTCAAATGTACTATCAATAACTAACAGATCCCCTTCCCTATGGCTCTTCAACACTCTTCTCCAATACAGGGATTTCAACATTAGACCTCTAATCCTGCACACCTCAATCTTACCCTTTCAGAAAGGTGAAAAGTTGATCTACTTGAAAGTAAAGAGTCCAAACTTTCTAGATTAGGCAATGGAGGCTCAGAAACATTAAGTGACTAGCCCAAGAATGCGAACTACTTAATGGCTCATCTGGGATCAGAATCTAGGTCTTCAGAGTTCTTTTCACTACATGGGGCTTCAATTACAGCGACCCATGTAATCTATTCAATATAAGGAATAACATGCATAACTTACAAAAAAGGTGTGAAAGTCAAAATTACTCACCTTTTTTATATCAAAAATGTATAGAAACATAACTAGCAGAATGATAAAATGTTACTTAATATTATAGGATAACAAAAATCTAAATTACGCTGAATCAGGCAAATATTTAGTAAGTGCCTACAACATGCAAGAAACAAGACAAAATCTTTGCTTTCAAGTCTGTGATTTACCAGGGGATGTAGAAGGACGGAACAGGACAAGGACACATTTAACTAGAAATCAAGCTACAGGGAATCAAGAAATAGGGAATGCGTAAGAGAGATCTATGAGGAAAAGATTGTGTATGATTGTGGGGATAAAGAAAGGCTTAAAATGAAGTGGTACCTGAGCTATACCTCCAGTTCAACAAAAACACACTACATACCTACTATGTGCAGAACACTGTGCTAAATGATGAAGGAGATCAGACTAAGCTTAGTTTAGTAGGGGAATATGACAAATACCTATTATACAAGAGAATACTTAAGTGAACAAAAGTTGCTGAAAAGTCTAAGAGGATACTGGAGAAAGTTTCAAAGAAGTCAAATTTAACTTAACTTAGACTTAAAAGTATGCAAGTAAGGATAAAAGTAAGCAAAGGCATGGAGGTGGGAAAAGTGTGATAAGTAAACATACTGTTAGCTCCCGCCACCTCCTAAAGGAGACCTAATCTGATCCCCCCAGATGCTAGTGCCTCTCTCCAAAATTACTCTATTTATTTTGTGTATACTTTGTATTTAGTTAAACATACCCACTTTCCTATAAAAGTTTCTCGAGGATAAGGACTGTACGATTTTTGTCTTTGTATTCTCAGCATAGTGCCTAGGCTGCAAAGCATACATAATAAATTATCATAAACATTTGATTATTACTTAAGACTTGCAAAGCAGTCTACTCCATGTCTCCTGAGTCAGATTCAAACGGGAAAGAACACAAAAACAAAGACCAACCAGACTCCTTAGAACTGCAATACTGTGCCCCACAGGGGTCTCACCTGATACTCCTGCTCTCTTTCCCAATGATAGGGTTAGCTCTATTGTAAGTGGGCCAGTTTATAACCACCAGCCCAAAAGTCTGTCTGGCTACAGACACGTTCAGAGAGCAATAGAAGCTAAGGTGATATACCTTCACCTGGTTTACTGCCAATAGCTGCTCTCTTCTTGCTCAGTAGATTAACTGTCTTGCTTCCTAATTGTGAGTTGCTGACCACTGACAGCTTCTTATTTAAAGTCTTTTTGCTTTTACATGTAAACAAGTTACTAAGAACTCCTCCAGCACAATCTCAGGAGTTTGACATCAATCAAATATGTTGCTGTAACCAATATGTCAACATAAAAAAAATTAGCTTTTGTATATTTTCTCTGTGCCTAGCACAGTGCATTTCAAATAGTCACTTTACGTTTGCTGAATGAACAGCTGAATAAATTAAACTACGTATCTCAGATAAGGTTTTATTTGGCCAATACAGATAGGACTTATTTACCTATGAAAGCAGTATTTCTTTAAGTCTTCGAAGTAATCATTATTGATTGTATCATATGGATCATGAAGAAGTGGGCTGTTATTAATTATACTGTCATCCCATGCTTTAGCCCATGGTTCCTGATTTTCTTCAATAGCTTGAGAAATTCCTTTGTCATGAGGAGAAATGATCTGAGCTCCATTATCCCAATAGACCTAAAGAATTCAATAAACATAAGAACTGGAAAAAGATTTTCACTGATGAATACAAACCCAGCGCTTAAGCTCTGTTTGAAATATAAGGGGAAAAAATACCTTGTAACCATTATCCTGCTTTGGATTATGGGAGGCTGTGACCATGATTCCCGCACAAAGATTCAGATGCGAAACGGTATAGGGCTGTAAGAATATCAGAAGATAATGCATACACATTTTTGTGCACGTTATTTTTTCATCAAATAACATCCAGATCTCTTTAATCAAATAAAAAATTTCAAGCTAAATGATCTGCCATCTAGTGGCCTACATGATTAATTCCACAGCCTCCTATCAATATAATGAGAAATTATGTAAAAACAAATCAGTTAAAGTAACTTTTTGTCTTTATGATACAGCTCACATTTTTCTTTGATGCAAGTAACAGTATGTAAATCATGCCGTTGCTATAAGTCTTAAAAATGTATTAACATAAAAGACTACACTCTCAAAGTTCTATCGACTAGTGAGGAATAAGTCTCCACTGTAGCTCTTCTAATATATATTCATTTAAAGATTTAATGAAATGTCCTACTAAATCATATGAAATGTAATTTTTATTGGTCTCTTAAAGTGAGACATCTCCTCAATTAGCAAAAAAGAAACAGCAACCAGGTTAAGTAATAAGACTGTTTGAATACATTTCAGTCATAAATAATATGTCACTTGAGTTATTAACTGAATAGTAAATCACTGATAATTTTACAGTTGGAAAATTTCCAGAGAGTAAAATGTGAATATTAGATGAAAATACTTTTCAATGTAGACTTCTCTAAGTGTGTATAGAATAACATCCAAAATAATTAAAAAATAGGGGCAGCTAGGTGGCACAGTGGATAGATCTCCAGCCTTGGAGTCAAGAGGATCTGAGTTCAAATCCAGCCTCAGACACTTGACACTTACTAGCTGTGTGACCCTGGGCAAGTCACTTAACCCTGATGCCTCATCAAAAAAAGCAAAAAAAAAAAGTTTAAAAATAAATTTAATTACTTAAGAAGAATACCAGCAGAAAGAACATGGCACCATTCCTTTTAATTGCCACATATAATACTAAAAACTGCATAAATTAGGCAAATTAGTTATAATGGTTCAAGAGTATATGGGAGAAGTCACACTGGATAGGGGAAAGGATATTTAATACAAAGCTACTAAGTTACTATAACCTATCATCCAATAAAATGCAAGAAATTCTTTCTTGTTTTTCCTGTAAGTTCTATAAAATCCTTGCTCCTATTTTGTAACAAGAATAATTTTTAAAAAAAGAGGGAGAAATGGTTACTTACCACAAAGGGAGTTGGTGTTATATTAGAAAAGAGATACACAGGAATTCCCTGACTGATAAAAGCTGTTGCAGCTAGCTGTGCAAACCTGGAAATGCAGAATTACACAGGAAAATGAGGATTTTTTTGTTTATAAAGATATCAGAAGCCTTGGAGAGAAATATGTACACACACACACACACACACACACACACACACACACACACAATTATCATGTACTATTACCAACCCCAAATTCATTCATTGAAAAAGCAAGAAAGAAAAAAAACATGTAAATACTTTTTATACACAAAGACTGAGCAACACAGTTAGAGCCGAAAGGGATCTTACAGATCATTTAGTCTAAATCTCTTATCTTACAGATAATAAAAATGAGTCCCAGAGGTCAAGGTCACAGAGCCGATTGATGATGACCCTGAGACTAGAATCCAGGTCTAATAAACAATTCAGTGAACTTTACATTACAGTGCTTCTGGAGGCACAGTAGATAAAAGCTCCACTGTCTAACATGTTTGGGACTGGATCCTAAGAATGAATGCTACTTCTGATATGTAAGTCAAGTATTTCACAAAGTCCTAACTCCTTCTGGTTACTGAATTTTCATAAGATTATAGATTTCGAAGTAGAAGGAACCATATTATTTGGAATAGTGAAACTGTTTTTAAATTATCTGTATTGTAATGGAAGGAACAATCCATCAACAACTATTTATTAAATGTCTACTATGTGCCAGGCACTGAAATAGGTGCTGGGGATGCAAGTACAAAGAATGAAACAATGGTGCCTGAGCTGCATCTTAAAGGAAGAGAAGTTATCTATGAAGGGGAGGTGAGGGGAAAAGTGTTTCCCAGACATGAGGGACAACCAGTGCAAAGGCACAGAGGTTAGAGTTTTAGACATGTGTGAGGATCTGAGAGGAGTCCAGTTTGGCTGTATCCCAAAGTGCAAGAATGGAAGTAATATCTAATCTGGCTAGAAAGATAATATTGGGTAGGACTTTAAAAACAAAACAGAGAAGTTCATAAGAGTAAATGAGAGAAGGCAGAGAAGACACTTAAGGAACACTCACCTTAGGGGATTAAGAAGAAGATAAATAGCCAGCAAAGCAGACAGAAAAGAAGCAGTTAGAGCAGGAGTGGCACCTCTGAAGCCAAGGGAGAAGAAAATATCTAGTAGCAATAGAGTAGACAAAAGTGTCAAATACTGTAGAGGCCAAGAAAGATCAGGAATAAAAAAAAAGACTAAAAATAGTTGTCATTTGGCAATTAGATGGCTGTGGTGACAATAGTGATGACAGAGTGGAAAACAAATTATAAAGAGTTGGAGCAAGTATAAGTAGTGACAAAGTAGAGGGTCTGGGTGTAGACATTTTAAAAAAAAGTTTAACAGCTCAGGGAAGTAAAGTGATTGTGTGAGGGGTTAGGGTAAGGTGGGGGTGAGGGTTATCTTCAATAATAATGGCAAACTCCTTGAGAATAAAGACTTGATCTTGAATATTTTTCCCCCAACAAATACTGACACAGTGCTGGGTACACTGTCGATTTCTAATAAATTCTTCAAGACTTACAGGATCAGTTTGACTTCAAGTGAGTAAATAATCTACCTCAAAAGAATTAGATTATGATCCACACTTTACATTATATTAATCAGAATTACAATGATTCATCAAAAGAGCATTGTAGAGTGTTAAACAGGAAAAGATGTCTGGAGGTTAGAGGTATTGGTACATAGAGAAACAAAATGAAGAATAAATATAAACCAGGTCTAATTTAAAACCAAACTTCAATAACTAACAATTGTATGCTTTTATCTTCAGGCTATATTGTGTCTGAAAACATCTTTGAACAACTATGGGGCTTCTTTGCAAAGGAAATCATTAAACTCATACAAGTATACCATATGCACACAAAAATGTGATTTGGTATATTCTTTACAAATACAGAATAGTACTCTCTGGTCATTTAAAAATGTATATATTAAAGAAATAATACAATGGCAGTTTTTAGATGTATGCATTAAGGAAATAACATGCTTTCATGCATTAGAGATAGAGACTATCAGAAGCACTTGGGTAGATCCTATTTCCCTTGATCTAATATTCAATTCAGCAAAACTTCATTAGGTGCCTACTGTGTGCAAGGCATAAGCTAGCCAATACAAAGTCAGAAATGAAACACTGGCTCCACTCTCAGAGAACTTACATTCTTCTAGGGGATACATATAACTTGGAAAACAACTAGAAAATAATTTGAAGAGAGAGCATTAACTAAGGGGACAAAGAAAGACTTTCCAAGGAATTGGTGACCAAGTTAAACCCTGAAGGAAGCTAAGGATTCTTAGAGTTAAAAGGGAGAAAAGGATGCACTCTCAGTATGGGGGGACAGTCTGGACAGAGGCCCAGATGGTCTCCCATATTAAAAGACATGGGGCAACAGTTTAGCACATATGCCAGTTTTAATGTTTTTATTCATTTCAGTTTGAGAACACTTAGCTGGATTGTCTCTGTTGCTCATCCTTTTTTTTTTTTTTTTGGTGAGGCAATTGAGGTTAAGTGACTTGCCCAGAGTCACACAGCTAGTGACTGTTATGTGTCTGAGGCTGGATTTGAACTCGGGTCCTCCTGACTCCAGGGCTGGAGCTCTATCCACTGCATCACCTAGCTGCCCCTTTTATTCTCTTCAAATGCTATACGCACAAGTATACATTATTGTTTTTCAATTTTGTTTTTTGGTCCACACCTATGATTTCATGGTGTAGAACTCAGCTCCCTGGTAAGGAAGCTCCCCCCACCAATGCAATGGTCTGAGAAGAGCTGCCTGGGATAATAAAGAATTATGCCACATACTCAGTATATGGCAGAGAGGGGGATTACAAATCCAAATGATCCTGATTCTGAGGCCAGCGTTCCAGCCACTGCCTCTCACGCTGTCCTTAAATTAGAAGTTACTAATAGAGAACTAGATCTGTGCAATTCTCTTTTCACAGTGCCTTGCATGATATCACATACACAGTTAAAAATCTGCAAATTTTTTTTTGATGATCTTAGCTATTATATTTTTACAGTCTAAAATACTCATGTTAAGTAATAATGAGTCAGAAAACCTAACTTCTAAATCAAGGAAAAGTGCTGGGAAAGGAATAAAAGCTTCTGTTTTATAGCTGTATATAAGGAAAACTATGCATGAGAAGTTAGTGGGTATTGGGGTTGTACATAACACTGTGTGAGGCTTCCAGCTAATGTCAATTAGTTGAAAGAACAGTCTTGTAGAAGTAAGATAAAAGAAAAGGAAAAAAGGAAAAAAAAAAGAACATGGTTGTCACTGAAAATTGACATAGTTAATTAGGCATTTTATTAAATTCTCATTAATTTTGTTAAATTCTATTTCTTTGATCCAAACTGAAAAGCAGAATTTACAAAATTTCCCAACAGAAACTGCCAACTATTTTTGAAGCTGAAAACCAGCTGTAAACTAGGCAAATGTAGCTAAATACTTGAAGTACTGAAGCAACAGTAAGAAGAACATAAAACATTAAAAACATCAAATAATCTAAAAATTACTCAAAGTACCTTTTGCTGCTACCTCCACTGGATGGGTGAGCTCGAGCATCAAAGCTAATCACGACACCTCTTTTCTTTAGATCACTGAAGGTTTTTTCCAGATATCTGCACAATCCCTTAAATACCAAATATAATCCATATTAGAATTAAATTTATATTAGCTTTAAAATTAAACTTTTAAATATATAACACAGGCAAAAGTAATTAAAATTTTTCTCAAATTCCTCTTGGATATCAGAATTCCTTAAAAAAGAAATCATTGGTAATAAAATAACTTCAGAACACATTATACCACGTGACAATTAGTGTCATTTTTCTATATAGTAAACTATTAAGTGAAATGCAAACAACTATGGGAAAAAAAAATGAACTCTGAACTGAGTAAGCTTAATTATTGGATGTAACAAAAGAAAATCTAGAAAACTGGGTAATCAGTTTCACCAAATTACATATTATTTGAATTAAACTGACAATAACTTGATATTGACTTCAAAGTCTTATATGCTTTAACTACTGGCTTAAGGAGAGTTGTGCTCTTTCAAGAGTAACTAAGGACAGCCAACGAACCCTAGATAAGAGCCCTTACATCTTTGTTTGGTGTTCTGGTGAGGCAATTGGGGTTAAGTGACTTGCCCAGAGTCACACAGCTAGTGAGTATCATGTGTCTGAGGCTGCATTTCAACTCAGGTCCTCCTGACTCCAGGGCCAGTGCTCTATCCACTACACCACCCACCTGCCCCCCCCCCATATCTTAGTTTGAAGGTTATAAACAAAGGCTTTTAAATGTTATGCTGACTCAGGGTAGGGAGGGGGCACGGTGGATAGAGCACCGGCCCTGGATTCAGGAGGACCTGAGTTCAAATTCGGCCTCAGACACATAACACTTACTAGCTGTGTGATCCTGGGCAAGTCACTTTAACCCCACTGCCTAGCCAAAAAATTAAAAAAAAAAAAAAAATATATATATATATATATATACACACACACATATAAATGATATGCTGACTCAATATTGGTACTTTGCCTTACTACCTAGCGTATCAAGGCAGGCTTTCTTTGCTTTTTCTTGATATTCAAGATCACATGTGAAACAAGCAAAGAGGAAACAAACAAGAAAACATTAGGAGCTCATATTTTATTGGTTTCTCTGGAGAACATCCAGACACTCATTACAGTATTAACTAGTAAAATCTGCATTGCGGCATTGAGCTGGAGAAAATCTGTGGTTTAATCCCCAACACCTCTTAAATAGTTCTGGGAAGTCCTCAGAACAAAGTCTAGACTAGACTAGACTAGACTTTATGGAGGCCATTTCCCCCAGGGAGGAAGATGGGCAAAGTGGTCACTAAGTCCTTTGCAAAGGCTTGAAAGTAATTTGATTCTAGGACATCTGGAGGTGGGCAGAGACAGGAAGCAGATAAGTTTGGGTCCAGAACCCCTTAGGGCTGCCATTAATTAGTAAGCTGTTTGATCAACTGAGGTTTTAGGATTTTTTTATTTTGTTTGTTCTGTGTTTTTACCAATCTAGTAAACTTGGAGTGTTTCACTTTTTGCTAATACAGATTCACAATGTACTTTAACTTATATTTAATCTCAAAGGGTTGCCTGAGACACTGAGATATTAAGCGACTTGGTTTAGCCATGTCACATAGCTATTATGTGTCAAACAGAATTTAAACCTAAGTCTTCCTAACTCCATTGCCAGCTCTGTGCCCATTCTATTATGCTGTCAGAATTATTCTTACCCACAGGTAAAACTGGCCTGAGAGAACAGAGTTCCACAGTATCCATGGATGGGGAGAGGGCTTTTGGAGGCTTACTTCTTATATTCCCATGGGTCAGGGAGCATTTTAACAGTCTGGTATGGTGTTGTAGACCAATAATATCCCCATAGTAAACAAAAGGCAGGCTTTGAACATGGAGTAAACTCAGTAATTTTTGCCCATAACTGATATATATATATGTATATATATGTATGTGTATATGTATGTATGTATGTATGTGTGTGTGTGTGTGTGTGTGTGTGTGTGTATACACACACATCAGATTAGGCATCTACTTTTGCTGTACTTGTGCTATGAATTATAAAACCTAGACTACTTGTAAGTTAGACACTGTCATCATTAGTCAACCTAGCTAATCTTTATTTCATTACCATCAAAATTATATTCATGACAAGTAGGACAATTTTGAAAGTAAAATGCTGAATTTATTATTATACTCTGTAATGAAAGACTTGTGGTTTCACATATAGTCTTCTCTGTTCTTCTATGTATATGGAAATACTAATTTCATTTGGTATTTAAGTTCAGAATAGAAAAACAAATGATATTTGAACAGAAACTTTAAAAAAGGCTTGAAATAACTACTTTCTTTGTGAAAGTGTCTATCTCAAGTTTTTTGGTATGTAATCAATTTAATAAGGACTCAAAGAATAAACAAATGATAACAGATAAAAACAATATTTCTACTTGCATTTCAGAGTGAAAGTAAGCAAATTAATTTCTTGGTTACTCTGATAACTTTCTGAGAAACCTCAGATACTTTATGTATTTGACTATTGTGAAAATATTTATTGTGAAAACTTCATTTAAAATAGAGGTTTGTGAACTTTTTAAAAAATAATTTAATAACTGTTTCAATATAACTGGCTTCCTTTGAAATGCTATATGTTTTATATCACATATCAAAAAACATTCTTCTAAGAAGGAATCTATAGACTTCTACTGCAAAGGGGTCCATTACACAACACAGTTTAAGAACCCCTTTCTTGGGGCAGCTAGGTGGCGAAGTAGATAAAACCTTGGAGACAAGATGACCTAAGGTCAAATCTGGCCTCTGACACTTACTAGCTGTGTGACCCTGGGCAAGTCACTTAACCCCAATTTACAAAAAACACAACCCCTTTCTTAAAGGCAGCACGAGACCTGAAACTTGGGTCACTAGTTCTCCATAGTATTAGTAGCACAAATAAGCTTTGGCAAACTATTTGGACCATAACTTACTAGTGTGATTCACTACACAGAGAATGGGTCAGAAAATAAACATGTAATTAAAGCAAATTAGCTCTGCCAAAATGAAAAATATATATTGAAGCTACTATTAAAAGAAATAATGAAATAAAAAATAAATCAGTACCTGAGTAGTCTGAATAATAGTTAAGTCATTCATCTGCGCAATTCCTGGTCCCATCGCAGCTCGCAGGCCAGCTGTTCCAAACTCCATTCGAGAACCAAAACATTTCTGTAGTTCTTCTCTATTATTATCAGCAATCATTTGTTTCACCATTTCTAAAGTTTTAGGATTCTATAAAACATAAACACATGTGCCACAATAGTCAAGTGATTAGTAGAATGAGAAATCTAAACTTTCAAATCACCAAAACGTAACTCTGACCCACATGAAAATCCACAAATATTATATTTTCTCTTTTAGGTTTCCTAATGCTATGGAACTTCAAAGTCAAATATTAACTTCTCTTTCTAGGAATAGAGTGTAAGAAAAGAGGTGTTTTATATATATATTCAATATTATGATAATACAATCTTATTGGAAACAATATTTGTAGAGATAATCAACTTTGAAAGACTTGGGAGCTCTGAATAACACAATGACCAATCAGAATTTCAAAGGATTCATGATGAAATGAGCTACCCACTTCCAGAGAGAAAGCTGATGGACTCAGAATGCAGAAGCCTATTCTCTTTTCTTTTCTTTTCTTTTTTTTTTTTGGCGGGAGGAAGGAAAGGGGGAACTTGTTTGCCTATATTCGTTATTTGTAATGGGTCTGGGATGGGTTGGGGTCTTTTTGTTTTGTTTTGTTTTTTTTGCTTTCTCAATGAATAGAAGGGAGAAGAGGGAGAGAATTCTGAACTGCAAAAAAAAACTGAAGAAAAAAAAGAAGAGTATGGGAGACTTTGGGCAGGCTCCTTAGAGAGGGTAACAGTTAAATGATGATCTCTATATTTTTGTAAACGTGACAATCTTCTAAGCTTTATTTTGTTGTAACTTTACTTTTTCTTGCTCTTATATTCCAGCAGTATCTCCACTGAATTAAGATTGTATCTAAGTCCACATCTGGACCAGAAATCTTCAGAGAAAACACGAGTGTTCCAGGGAGGCCAGGTTAGGAGATGGACACTGGCAATAGATACGGGTTTTGACCGGGCAGCTAGGTGACACAGTGGATAGAGCACCGGCCCTGAAGTCGGGAGGTGCTGAGTTCAAATCTAGCCTGAGACCAAACACACACTAGCTATGTGACCCTAGGCAAGTCACTTCACCCTAATTGCCTTAAAAAGAAAAAAAAAAAGAAAAATACATGGTTTCTGGGATTCAGTGGGCAACTATTTCTGTTGTCACAGGGATACTGCTTTTTAATAGGGCTGTACAGTAGCTTCAGAAAAAAAGATTTAAGTGATTAATAAGCAAGCTGAAATTACATTCTTTTAAAGTAAATCATAACACATTCAAAATGATGATACTTAGACAGCAAGAAAAAGTTAAATTGTGTTCTATCTATACTTTGCCTTCTTTGGCAGAGACATTTACTCCATTAATTGAAGACTGAATGGACAGACCACCGGCCCTGAAGTCAGAAGGACCCGAGTTCAAATACGGCCTCAGACCAAACAATGGCCTTGTACTAGCTGTGTGAGCCTGGGCAAGTCACTTGACCCCAACTGCCTTTAAAAAAAATTGAAGACTGAAGAATTCAGTTGGCTAGATTCAGTTTAACTATCTATAATGTGAAATATGGTTCCAATAACAACAAAAAGAAGCTCTTCACATGATTCTGTTTAATTGAAAATGGGAACATCCTGGTACTTGAACAAATCTGAAAATTTAATACAACTCATTCTTTAAAATATTTAGGGAAACTATGACTATCCCTAATAATATTGTGGTATAGCTGGCCTTTTAATTACAATAACTTGCATCTGTTACAAATAGCAACGGATTTGAATCAGAAAATGTGGCTCCTTCATTCACCACCCGTATTTACACCTGTGGACAGGCCACTTAATCTGTAACTAGCCTCAGTTTCCTGATCTATAAAACTAGGTAACCACTTGTATTATATAACTCAAAGGGTTGTTGTGAGGGTAGCACCTAAATAAAACATAGGTGGCTGAGGACAATAAGGGGTACAGGGATATAAGAAAAAATGCTGGGATTTTTATTTAAATCTCAGTCCTCTTCTGACATCTGGTCCTACCCAGCTAGGAAAGGCTTGGAATAAAGTGCTTTTCACACAGTAGGCACTTCATGAATTTACTGTGGACCTGGATGAGACACAGTCCTGAAGTCAGGAAGACCTGAGTTTAAGTCCTGCCTCTGACATATACCCATTGTGAACCCCCTCACTGCCCTCACCAACTCTGTAAGACTCCATATCCAGAGAACTGTATATCCCATTAGTTGTGGTCATATTCCCTACCCCAATGAAACCACAAGGCCAGTCCCTATCCCTAAGGGTTGGTTGGACCATTGTCTGAAAACCAAGTTAGCTAAGTTCCGAGGCTTATCACTGAAGGCCAGCCACTCATGGGCACTGATTCCTTCGGCCAGAGCAACTCTAGAAGGCTATCTACCAAGTTAAAGATTGTGATTTCCTAGGTGGCAGGAGGGACACACCGATGAAATCACAGGGTTTTAAAACTACTGAAGCGTGTGCATTTGGGGTTTGAGGGATTCCTAACATTTTTTGTCATGAACTCTTTTGGTAGTCTGGTGAAGACCACGGACTCCTCAGAATGTTTTTAAATATATAAAATATATAGTATTACAAAAGAAAACAGTTTCATTGAAATAATTATCAAAATATTTTTTAGAAAGTACAGGGACCCGCACCCGAGAAGCCCACAACTGTTTCCACAGTTGAAGCTTTCACAGGGAGCACAGCTTCCCCACTGCCCATCCGTGGGGAAAGGACGCGCATCCACTTAATTCACAGCTGACCCGTTTAAGGGAATGAAACCTTCTTCGGCACGAAGCCCAGCCTCCCCTTCTTGCAGCTGGGGAAACCGAGGCCCAGGGAGGAAAATACGACTGGCCCACGACCCCCCTGGGGAAGCATCTGGCGGAGGGTCTCTAGGGGCCCCCGGCCGATCCGAAGGCTCAGTTCTGGGGGTCCCAGCTCTGGGCCAATGGACATCTCCCCGGAGGGCCTTCGGGGGTGGGGGGATGTGCAGCCAAAGCTCGCCCTACAGTCCTGCTTCTTGGGGTCTGCCCCCACCCCAGGGGGCGGCGAGGTGTGGGGAGGGGAGAGGGCGGAGCGAGAACAGGAAGAAATTAATAAAGACAGGGTCGTCTCCTCGAGGCCAGGGAAAGGGGAGACGAGAGAATGGGGGGAGGGGAGGACGGGAAGGAAGAAGTGGAGGAGGAGAAACAGAGAGATGGGGAAGGGAAGGAGAGGCTGGGGCGGGGAGGGAGAAGGGAAGAAAGGGAGGGAGAGAGGGAAAGATGAAGAGGGAAGAGAGGAGAGGGAGATGGAGGGGAGAGGGAGGAGAAGGAGGTAGAGTCAGGTGCGGCCGCACCTCAACCCGACTCTCACCTTGTCCCACCGAAGCCACTGGGCGGCCGCCTGGTCCAGCCGCGAGTCCTCTCCCGGGCCATCTCCCGCAGCCGCCGCCGTCCTGGTCGCCATTCCGTCCCAATTGCGTGCGAACCTGACTGCGTTCTTCACACTCGCACTCCTTACCTCCTGCTCCGAGCTCCAAAGGAAGAGCTCGAAGGAGCCTCCGATTGGTCGAGAGCCGGCGCCCAAGCCCCGCCCCCAGACCGGTACTGGTCCAGCGCCAGGGGGCGGTGACTCACAGGAAAGAGCGCCGTGGCCCCGCCCTCAGCCCTAAGCCAGACCCGCCCTCGGGTCAGGTCGCTGGGGACAGGCTACTGTTACGGAAAATTTTTTTTCAGTTAACCAACCTTTATTTTCTCTCCCTCATACTTCCTCCCATTAAAAAAAAAAGTAAAGAAAAGCAGAACTCTTGTAACAAATATGCCTAGTCAAGCAAAATAATTTCCCACACTAGCCAAGTCCATAAAATGTGTTTCTTATCGTACTTTGAGTCCGTCGCCTCTTTGTCACGAGGCGGTAGCATGCCTCATTTTCTGTCCCGTGGAATGTTGGTTAGCCATTGCAGTGATCAGAATTCTTAAGTCGTTCAAAGTTTTAACAAGCATTTATTAAACACTTCTGAGCATGTGCCGGGCACGGCGCTAACCAAACTGGAGGAATGTAAATACAAAAAATGAAACAACCTCTATCCCCAAGGAGCTCACATTCTATGAATGAAAGGCGAAATAATATGTACTTATATGGGTATACAGATTAAATATGTTTGGGGTTCTGGAGCATGCACAGATCCTATTGTTTTATTCAGCTGATACCACCCTTCCCGGGAGTTTGCTTCCAAGACATTGTGAGTATATGCAAATGTGCCTTGGAGAGATTGGGAAGCGTAAGTGAACATTCTGTTTCCCCTTGGCTGACCATTTGGTCGGGAGGAGCCTTTTCCAAACTGTTGGCATATTTTATGGCTGTCAGCTTCAGCTCATTCACATCTAGGGGATTTGGGTAACTCCCTCATAGAGTCCCATGAGAGACCATCTGGTAAGGGGAACGGTCGTCGGGTCTTCTTCCCTTCCGAAGCCATATGACCCTAAGAAATGGACCTTTTCCATTCTAGGTGAAGAGAGTAGAGTCTCTGGAGAGCTAGATTCAGAGATCCTGGAATAGGAATCCAAATCAAGTTTTGTACCCAGTCCAGCACCCATACCTCAAAATCAAGAAATGATTTTCAGCAATGACCTTTGATTTCCTTGCCCAGTGGAAGGACTCACCCCAGCATCCCAAGACGGGTCACATCTGGATGTGAACTTGGGGGGGACCAATGGTATGTAGGAATTCAATTAAATTGTGAGCTTTCCTCCAGAGACCATGAGGATACAGAGGAGATTATGTTCCCAAGGTACAGAGGGCAATGTACCTATATTTGTGCTATATTTTTGGAATAAATATTCCTTTGTGCAAACTACTCAGTAGTTAGATGGAACTGGGTTCGAGTCACTGGCCTTTAAGGAGGAGAGTGGAGTATGGAGGAACAACTTAGCTTGTGGGGGCTTGAACTGATGGTTCACCCCAGGCTAGAGAGGTAATCTGAGTTGCCCAGGGGTCACTCAGGTAGAAATCCAGATCTTCTGACCCAAAACCCAGTGTTCTCTTGACCCTACCATCCAGATGTCTCATTAGACTAATAGCTATGGCATGGCAGTGTGTAACGTGCTTAATGTGCACTAAAATCTGAATGCTTTTTATCAGGGAAGAGCCCTTGCTTGACAAGAACTACACACAAAGTTCTACGGGCCTCATTTTCCTCTCTAAATCCAGTGAGTCTAAGAGTCATATGGTTTATCTCACTAGAGCTTGACCCAAGCAAAAATAGTTTATCCACTCATCGATCCTTCAGATGATTTTTTTTTCTGCACCAGATAAGGCCAGGTCCATGATGTCTCCTTGCTGGTGCCCACATACCTTCCCACTTTCTTCCTAGCTCCATTAAATCTAACCTAGACTTTGAGAGTAATGATATCAGGGTCTTGAAATAGTCATGAGGATAAACACAATAATACTTGGACAGCTAAAAAAAAAACCCAAAACCAAAAACAAACAACTTCCTGTCCAACAGAAGTATTGCTGCTTTTTTTTTTTAAACCCAGAAAAGGCTATCTTAGAGAACCAAAACAGGAAGCAACTTTCCTAGTAATAAAGTGTCCAATGCCAATAGGAACCCGATTTCCTGACATCACTAGTGATCTCTGGAGCAGGGCAGAGTTGTTCATCTACTCTCCCTGACATTCCCCAAATGTGCTTTCTTTCTTTCTTTCTTTCTTTTTTTTTTTTGGAGGCAACCTGGGGTGACTTCCCCCAGGGTCACACAGCTAGTAAGTACTTGAGGCTGAATTTGAACTCAGGTCTCCCTGACTCCAGGGCTGGAGCTCTATCCCCTTAACCACCTAGCTGGCCCCAAATGTGCTTTTTTCAAAACTCTTAAACAACCTTGGTGTGGGGTAGAAAATATTTGGATTAAGAGCATCCAGCATGCTACAGTGAAAAAAGGCCTGGATTTGTGTCAGAAATCCTGGGTTCAAATGTTGCACTGCCAGGCACTGGCTAGATGACCTTGGGCAAGTCTTGGCCTCTCCAGTCCTCAGTTTCCTCATCTGAGAAATGGCTAGTTGACTGCTGAGGTTTCTTCCAGCTCTAAATCTCTGATCTTGTGTTCTGTGTTAAAGTCCCCACTCTGACTCTTCTAAGCTATGCGACTTAAAGGAGAGTCATTTAGCCTCTCCAGGCCTCTATTTCGCTGTCTGTAAATGGTATACTAATACTTTTACTATCTATTACTACACATTCTTCAGGATTACAATGGCTAACTTTTGTGAATTCAAAGGTGCAGGAACCTACTAAGTGAAGACATTTTACCACTGCAGATCTGCAATTGCTATGCAATTATTTAAACAAGATTACAGAGAATGCCTAAACTCCCGGATATTGAGTGAGAAGAGATCTCAAATGTTTTCTAGTTCAAACCTCCATTTTACCAATAAGGAAACTGAAGTTCAAGGAAGTTAATGAAATCGCTGAAGGTCACACAGATTATAGAAGTAGGTGGAGGGGTGGGGTGGGGTGGCATGGGAAGGGGATTGAGCAGTGATCTGCCCAGGCTTACACAACTAATATGAGGAAGACTGGATTGGAAAGAAAACCCAGGTCTTGCTGGCTTCAAGGCTAGCTCTCTCGATACACTATGCCATGTTGCCCATTTATGAAGATTACAATTATAGGGGTTACAGACAGCATGGCATAGTGGATAAATAAATACATATAAATAAATGAAATAGCCAGGAAAACATAAGTTCGGGAGACTCCGGCCCCCACCCCCTTGACATATATTAGGTAGGCCATCTTTGGCAAGTCACAGCCCCATGAATGCCCTAAGCCCCTCTGTGATTGTAACCTCTATGACCCCTTAGGGAGAATGGAACTTCCCTGAACTCTCTACTTACACACTAACTGACCTCCAGACCTTTTCATTCCTGCTTTTCAGATTCTTTACCTTAGCTCAGCTCAGCTCAGCTCAGCAGTCATGTCCTTCCTTAAATGTTCCCAGAGCACCTTCCTTATCTTTCTCTTATCCCAATCACTTTCTATCTTACATTACTTATATCTGTTTCCATAATGGATTCACTTAGTGGGACGTAAACTCCTTGGTGGCAGGAAATGTTTTTCCAAAAGTACATTTTATGGATGCCTGTTGCTATTATATTGTAATCATTGCCTTCTTTCTGCCCCATCTTGAGCCCTCTTTTGTGACAAAGAAAAATGAATCAACAAAAATCATTTAATATAGTGACTGAGACTGACTGGCAATAGATAGAATGTTGGGGAAGGAAGCAACTATAGCCTCTGATCACTAAGGGTGGTGGCACAGCAGGGAAGGTGTCATAGACGAGGCAATAGGAAAGAAAGATAAGATTTCAGAGGGAGATTAAGCAGTGGGAAGGACATGAACCCAAGGGTCTAGGCAGGAAAGTCAGTAATGCTGAGGAATGGGGAGGAGCTCAGACTGAATGGAACACAGATTCCTATTAGAGGACACTTTTTAAATTGATTAATTATTTTTTGTTTTGTTTTGCTTTCAACATTCACCTATATAAGATTTTGAGTTCCAATGTTCCCCCTCCCTCTTCTCCCCTCCACCAAACGCCATGCTATCTGATGTAGGCTATACACAATCATATTGAACATATTCCCACATTAGTCATGTTGTGAAAGAATTAGAACAAAAGGGAAAAACCATGAGAAAGAAAAAAAGAGAGAGAAAATAGTATGATTTGATCTGCATTCAGACTCCATAGTACTTTCTCTGGACGTGGATATCATTTTTCATCATGAGTCTTTTCAACGCCCTCGTTTTAAAGCTGAAGGAACAAGGGCGAAGTAACAACTTGCTCAAAGTTATACAGGTCCTAAGTGACAGCGGCCAGGTTTGGAAGTCAGAATCTACTGAGGTTTCTACTGTAGGCGAGGTAGAGAATGGTTTTTAGACATGTTGAGGAGGGGACTGAAAAGAAGGCTGAATAAGAAAGACTAAAATACTGGATCCCAGTCACACAAAGTTGTTGCGGGCTGGGTGAGCAGTGGACTCATTTCTTTTTAAAGGGCTAGAAAGAAAGGAAAATGAAGCAGAGTCTGCAATTTCTCTAGAACTAAGGAGAACTTTTCCCTTGAGAAACTTCTCAGAGATGGTTCTGCAGGACAGGGAATAGGGACTGGATCTATGATTTCACTTTGCTGTACAAGGAATTTTCATATGAGAAAACTCCCTCTACCCATGCATAGAGGCAACTTTTCTTTGTCATTTTAGAGTCTCTAGGCCCCACTCTCTGAGGCGCTCACAGTCTACATTTTACTCACCTCCCTGATTCCCCCAGGGTTCTCTGGACTCGGGGAAAGTTGAAGGAGGCTCTATTGTCTTCCTTTGACTCAAGTCTTTCCTAAATTCGTCTCCCTCTTTTTAAGCTGCCAATGACTTTTACTTCAATTCAACTCAGCTATTTAACAGCAGATTCGTTTTTGACAAAGGACGATTGACTTCAAAGGAAGAGCAGGAACTAGCATACACCCATTACCTTCCAAACACTTTAGGGGCTTAAATCCCTCTCCCCCCCCTCTTTTCTGGGGCGAGGAGGGCACATTAGGCTCACTGTTCAACTCATTTCCTACAGAGCTTCAGGCCAGACCAAGTTAAGCCCAAAGACCCCTTTCTTT